GTCCCAAAGCTCATTTCTGGTGGCTAGCATGTTGGCTTCGAGCCTGAAACCCTTTCATCCACCAGTAAAAATTGCCTCTAACAAAAGCCTACTTATTTGGCGGAATTAATTCCCATCAATGTTCGCTAAATCTTAACTTCCACCATCGAAACATTCCCCAGTTGAAAGATGTGAGTACTTCGAGTTCAGGGCCAATGTCAATACCAGATTGGTTTGAATCATAACGAACATTTTAATTTTGTCTTGACCTTTAAAAACTTTACACAAATTGTTTTCTTGAAAGGCAGCTTGTATAATGCTTTATGAAAAAATGATATGTTCTCCTGGTTCTGACAATACAGAGACCATGTTTTATACTTATGAGGCAGTCTTGTTGACAGTATGGATAATACATTAGCGGGACATCCTCACACGTGCCCCGAAAAAGCATGCAATTGCAGAATGTCAAATATAGTTACCCTTTTTTTTCAAGTGGCGGCATTTTAGAAGAAATATGTTTGCCAAAAAGTAGGTACAAAGAGTGACTCTGTATTCATCATTTTTAACTAATATTATTTAAGTATTAGCGACGTCAAAAAGACATTGAAAAAAATTAAAATAAAATGGATAGTAGATTTCGCTGAATAAATTTTACACAGTTAGCTTTAAAACATTTGACCAAGATCTCCATTGCTACTGGATGTGAAAAGACGTAGAAATATGCTCCTGCTAATTACTCTGGCAGTCTAACCGAAGTAAATGTTTTTGAGAAAACATTATTTTACACATGTTAGGGGGTTTTGGCAGATGTGCTTAATTTAGTTGAACCAATTGTGAAAAAGCTCGCGGCCTCAGCGGGAGTCGAACCCACACAGCGGGGAAGGCTTTTGCAAGGCTTTTGGATTCCATACGAGCGGTAAGTTAGGCGGGTTAAATCGATCCAAGTGTGATTATATTCACGGCGCATGGCGTGCCTCGTAGCTCCCTGGTAGAGCGTTGGCTGCGCAAAAGCCTACCCTGATGTGTGGATTCGACTTCAGCAGAGGCCGCGAGCTTTTTCACAATTGGGTCAACTAAATATCTTACAACGGCGATTAAAGCCAGGTGAGCTTTCTTGTATAATATGGGCTTCTTAATTGCAACCAATCAAAAAGTTGAGAGTTATGCATACAGGAAGTTATGACGAACGGTTTGTGGCTGTCTGTGATAAAGACACCTGAAATATAACCGAACAGCTGTTGGTGTAACAGGCCGGTAATGTGTAGGGCTTTGCTCACAGTCCCGAAGTACGTAACTCAAACGAATCCGATAAACACAAATTTTTTTGAAGACAAATCTGCCTGCGTTTTGCCCGTCATTACATTAAAATCCTGCTGAAATAAATGCCAGCAACTAACTACCATCAAACACAGCCTTCTTAGAGTGGTTGGGCGTTGCATATGTTTGCGCAGTACCGAGCGAATTACCTGCTAAAGGTGCATAGAAGCTTTTGCTGAATACATTCCAATCCTAAATAAAAATTGTTTACATAGCCGCCGAAACAGGACGAGATAACGGGACTCGCCCGCAATACCGGTGTTTTGGCGCCAAATTCCAGTGCAAACAGGGATATATATTAACCGGAGCGTTTTTGCAGATTTAAAAAATTCATTTGATCCAAATGGCACCAATAAATAAGAAGGATGTCTACGTTTGTATGGTTGGCGTTCAGATTAAGTTTAGGATGAGGCTTAAAGTAAGGGCTATTTTGAAGTTTACGATATTTTAGAGCCATGTTTATGGCTAAGGTTCAGTTTGGTGTTGACTGTAGGTTAGGCGTTAAGGGTAGGGTCAAAGTTGAGATACGAGCTACGGTTAATGTTGGTGCTAGTGTAAGAATTACAACACGCGAATGTTCACCCTCCTCCGAATTACATATGTGCAGGACCACGTTTATTACCAGTTCTTGTGTCCAGTTTAGAGCACCGTATAAGTAATCCTTACGCAGTCCTGTAATATTTTTAAAATTTCGTGGAAAGGACGCCAGTGAATTCCCGCAATCTATGTCATAGATGGGAAATAAAATCAGAGATGACGTGTTTTTTTTTTCTACTGAACCAGTGCAACTGCCTTTATTAAAAACAGATACATTTTAAAATGACGAAAAGTTGCCAACGTTTGTCAGTTTTCATCCTCAGTAATGAAAAGATTTATCTTAACGCCGAACGATCTTGATAAATGCGCGTGTACAGCAAGTTTAGATGTCGTCTAATCTTAAAAAAAGTCGGAATACATGCGCAGTTGGTTGCTACGTTGACGGATCTGAGAATTCAAATTCGAAACGTCAGTGCTCTTCCCACAGGAACCTCTAAGCAAAAGTTGGCATTAAAAACATCCACTCACCGACCCGCAGATATGAAGCTACTAGAAAAAAGTCCCCTGCCGATGCAGCCAAGGCAAATGTTCAAAAAATACGAACAAAACTACCGAAGAGATGACACGGTGTCCAACAGCGTTCGACCTTCACTTGTGACAAGATACATCAGGTGGGCGTAGCAGCGCGTGAATGTTTGTGAAATAGACTTGCCCTGCCCTTACCTCCGTTTCTACCAAACTGCGAAGTCTACACAAAATCAAGTCCAACACTGATGAACGTGAAAACGGGATGACTGGTAGAGTTTATTAGACCGACCAGATGTGGCACGGCTGACATGGTCCCGAGCCCAGCACGTCCACTCTTGGCTATGAGGGCTCTGCCAGCCAATTGCAGAGGGGAAGCGAGTTCCGGGAAGCAGGTCAAAAAAAGATAAAAGTGCTTTTCGGATTCTCATTCGAACCCAGCATCAGACAGTCTCTGATGCCTTTTTCGGATGAGGTTCCGAAAGTTCAGGCTGCCAGATTTCCTGTCTACGCGACTGGACAAGAACTTGTACACAGTGGATGGTGTGATGATGCACATATATCTGCGGTAAACGCTGTTGTCGTGATCATCCGATCGTTCAGTATTTCGAAAAGTGGCGTCGTTGGACTATGATGGGTATTACGCAGAGTATGTGGAAAGACACTCAGAAAATGTAATTTAAAAATGCTCTCCTACTGAAATACAGGGTGTCCCAAAAAACGTATACACATTTTACATTATTATAAATTCGGAGTTTATCATAATTTTACTTCTAAAAACGCAAAAATATTTACAAGTGTCAATTTATTGTTTTTTGACTGAATGTTCTCAGACTGACGCCCATGTTGCTCATGACACTGCTGACAACGCGAAGCAATGGAATCGCACACACCATGAAACAATTCCGTGATATGCAGCTGCATTCATGTTTAATGCCTTCTCTCAATTCAGCCACTGTTTCTATAGTCAAAATGCAGCGAAAAAAACGACGAAATGATACTTGTAAATACTTTTGCATTTTTGGAATAATAAAAGTTATGATAAACACCAAGTTTACAATTAGTTAAAATGAGTAAACATTTTTTGGGACACCCTATATTTTAGTAGGTTATTAAATAATTTAGGTAAGCGAAACGAAAGTCGTGCAAAGTGCATGTTTGTAAACCTTTGAAGAATTTCACAGTGGCTATTCCAAGTATATGAGAATAAAATCAAACCAAGACCAATAAAAATAAGTCAAAAAGAAGGAAGGTCTGGTTCTGAGTGAGATGTTTTCACTTGCTGACGCTTTCTGTTAAATCCTAAAGGGAGGATTGCCTTGTACTAAAGCTTTTTCATGGGACTTAGTTCATATACATAGGTAGGAAGTCTATTTTTCATAAAATGTTATGAAACTTATGAAAATAGAATCATACTCCTTACTAAAATTTCATGAATTTGAATCATCGGTTCGGGAGTCATCTCTACTTTGCACATATTTGTCGTTGCGGTGCGAGTGTGATATTTATCTCTCTTATTTTCTACAGGTAGATAAGGGGACATTCTGCCATATTTCTTATCCGAGACATTCATAATGGGTCCCTGCTTTAAAACACATTTTTAGAATGAAAAAGATATACAGGATATAAAACGTTCAAACTCACTTGGTCAAGTGATTCTCATAGCTTGTTGCTGTAGTCCAGTTGACTGCCTGATAGGAGTCATTTATCAGATTTCTCACATATTTCTTCATCAGATCGTGGGTTTCGTGAAGAACAAGCATTTCATACAGGTAATTGAAGGCTCGGTAAGCGACAGTCAGAGGCACAAAATCGCGTTCTTTGCGGAGATACTTTGTCAAATTCAGGAAGAGGTCGAAACTGATTGAGCCCTGACTGTTGAAAGAGGATAGAATGCACGACAAAAGTTGCTGGTTAGATATGTATGATCAACACGGGGGACGCAACATATTCTCTGTACCGAGGTTGAACGATACAGTACAGAGAGAACAAAATATGAAAGTCTGCTGGATGTACCGTTTTCATAAGAAGATCTAACCGATTGAAGTTGTCAGCTTCGGTTAACACACCGCATATTGATAGCCTGTGCTATAGAGGCAGGAGATGCCAGTCAGTGCAATTTTATATGCAAAGTTATGATACTGGTGTGCATTCAGCAAATCCCATGAGAAATCAGGCACGTCTTTCAAGCGCCAGTGCTTTGGAGCGTCGTAATTGAGCAATATTAGAATCCAGAAAAATTGCTCGTGAGATTTTTTTAAATTCCCTTCAAGAATTTCTTCCGAAAAAAACCTGAACGCTGCATTTTTTGACTCAAAGTTTCGGGTCACAGATTTACTAGACTGGAAGTGCCAAAATGAAACAATAATTATGCTCAACGCAGCTTTTGTGGACCTAACGGAGAAACTACCGAGTGCCGATAGAAGTGAGCAGGCGATTTTAAGGACATAATTCAGGCGAAGGCGCTACGATCGCTGAAACAGGTGGTTTATTGGGCTGACGCTTTGGATTCTCACTCGAACCCATAATCAGGCAGTCTCTGATGACTTTTTCGAATGAGGTTCCGAAAGGGTCATAGATGCAGGAGACGTCCTTTACTTGATCTGGTGCAGTGTCGGACAAATCATATACGTCAAATAACCTGAGGGATTACTCTGGACACGAATTACCGAGCATGCGGCAGTAGAGGCAGCAGCAGTAATTGGGAGGACTGACGTTAGCTGTCAGGTCGTGACTCTTTCGACGCAACCCGACCACGCCTTCAAGGTTGACGAGGACAAAAGTTTTGCAAGGGCTGACAACCCCTTTAGACGCGAGTTCCTTGTTCTCCGGCTAACATTCATTTGACAAGCACCGTCAACTCCCAACTCTCTGTTGTGCGCTAAAATTTGGCTTAGACAACATTGTTAACCACCCGGGAAGACTAGCGGCCCCTGTGTCCACGAGCCAAATGGCCGAGTAAGCATCGTGCTAAGAATAGAAAAGGGTACTTAAAGAATGGCTGACAGCGTCTCGAGTGTAGACCAACAAGCAGTAATCACATCAACTATGACCGCATGTGGTTAACACGAGTACTGATACTTAGAGAGGCTATGTAGTTGTTTGGCGCATGTGGCCTATAAATATTGCATCCATTATGCCTCCACTACTTTTATCTTCGATTATCTCTGATGATGAGTTCAAATGGCAATCCGAAACGTCATGCCAATAAGCCTTTTAGGTCAGCAAGCGCAATTTCGTCTTCTTCTTCTTCTTCTTCTTCTTCCAAGTCTCAGTGTCACAACTCAAGATCATCTGGTAGAGACAAAGTCAAAGGAATGTGCTGTTTTCTTTTTTACCATCACAGTCGAATCAACACTCTATGTGAACGAACGCCATAGAAACGCCAGCAGACAAAGGTCAATTCTTCGTGTGAGAACAAAGGAGGTACGGTTTGAAGGTCTCTCTATTAATTACTACTGTAACCTAGGGAATAATGAAACTTCGGTCTTTGGCAAACAATCAGCGCTGGAAGAGCATTCATTTAATTGCTGCCTTTTAATTCCTTCATAATCCTTAAAGGTCTAATTAAAATGTCTCGACTCTCACAGCCTGCTAATTAGACTGTCGTGCAGTATAATTCTGCCCCACACAAAATGCCCTAATTACTGGAGACGGACAGCAGCGTCCGCCCCGACGAATGAAAGATTGCTCTCTTTAATTTACAATCATTTCCCAAGGGCTAAATTGTAGCCTAATTTGCTTGTGACTGAAAAGTGTATGCGATATGTTTATATTCTTTGCGGTCTGCATGCACATATAGCTGCACTAATCATCGCTTTGTTATTTCCAAGGCGAGGTCTAGACTGCAATCGCATCGGAGACCACAAATAAAGCGACCACCAGCTAAGGCAAATTCCCCCCTGCTAACTTCGTCTGCCGACCGCTTACATTTCAGCAGTAAGTTGGCCCAGCGATTGAAACGCTTCTATGCTCTGCATGCACACAGTACTGTGAAGGTACAGTGGCAACAACTGTGATAATGCATTAAATCTACCGTCCCAAATTTCGTTTGTAGTGCAAGTTTTCACTACCGGGACAGTTTTGGCGTCATCAACAATATACTCCTGGGAGAAAGTAGGCTTCACGAAGCCTACATCAACCACCGGACCGACGCAAACCAAGTAGCCTTCTTCAGATATCGTCGCATGGTGCGGCAACGGCTTCGAAATGTGCAGGACGCATGAATGGATCTTAATGTTAAGGGCTGGGGTAAAAAGAATAATTAATGCGTTGCCTTCAAGGCGTTCTAGGGACCCATGGCCAAAGGAACCACGTAAATGCTCAACTAACGAGTAACTCGCCAACCCTGATGCGTTGAGGCGAGCTCATTAGGCAGTGTTCTTAATCTATTGCCCAAAACATTGTGACTTCGACGTTGGCAGACGCCGCCAAGGGGGAACGGATGATGGCCTAAACTTTCCGCCACTCCTCCCAGAAACAATGAAAGCAGTAAATCGGAGGTGGAGATTGAAAGCGCCGGAATCTGACGCTATCCTGGTCGTAGGCTACAGGTACAGTGCTCCTTCTCTGAGTGAAAAGCTAAAAATTCCCTGTTCCATTAAATCTGACGAGAAGTTCAGGTCCCTTAATGCTCCAAGCACGTGACCACCGTCCATAAATACATCGCAATGGAGGCCGACAACTCTGTGACAATCTCGGGGGCTGTTTTTACTCAACACCTCGGTGAAGATATTCGCATCTGCCAGAATTTAGTTCATAGGCAGTGTTGGGCTACTGACATAATCTTGGAAGTCTGCGAAATATGAGAGAAGAGCCCAGAGGTTATGACCAGCCTCTGCACTACCTGTCTGACCTAACGACAGTGTTTGGCCCGCTGAACCGTGACGGACTCTGGAAAATAGTGCTGAAATTTTGGTGTCCGGAGCAACCACTGGAAACACTGTGTAAATTCAGGATGTGCTGCTGGCTAGCCCCACTGACAATTGTGCAATCTCGAAAGTGTTCACGGTGGTTAGGGGGATGTAACCGTGCTGCCTACTCTCTACTACCCTATTAAATCTCAGGTTATTCGACATGCTGATGGACGACTGCCGTGAGGCGCGGCTACGGGTTGGCATCAATTATAGCAACGATGACAAACTTTCCAACATTCGTAGCCTTAAGGGTGCTCGCGGGTATCCAAGTCCATCATCAGCCCCTTTTTTCGCGGACAAGAGTGGACACGCAGAGAGTTGTGGACCTCTTTGCTTCTGGGACGGACGGAATTCATGCCCTACTCGGCATCCAGCATGGAGTGCAGTGAATCCAACATCAACGTTAGTGAAACCAACTTGCAACAACGGACGAACTCACACATCTCCAGATTATAATTTCAAAGAATATCAAGATGGAATACGAAGTAACCCATCGAGTCTCCAAAGTCGGTCAGGCCTTTGATCTATTGTAGATCTTAGTCTACAACTACCTTGTACTTCAACTTACCACGAAAGTCAAAAGGTGCAAGACGGTAGAACTAATAAATCTGTTCTGCGAGACAGAAAATGGATGTGTTGATTTTTTACCTTACCATCCTAATAACCAAGGTACTAGTCAAAAGACCCAAACAAGTGTTTTACCGATATTCCGCCGCTGCTTGACACAGCTGCGAAGGGTACGGTTTTGGAAGTTAAGCCTTTTAATTTCCGTAGAAATTAATTTCTACAACGCCACCCAAGACATGAGGGGACCTGTTCCAAGACCGACTGACGCGGGAAGAGAAGTGAAGATTGGAGCAGCAATCTACATGCAGTCCTATAAAATCTTCAAATTCCGCAAGTCTTTTTTCAGTTTTCGACATCTAGAAGTTGCAGACTGTATACTACTTCCAAGATGAGAGATTATAATTCACAAGTTAAGATGTCTATACGCTCTATGCAAGTCTACCGAAAATGGGACTCTTAAAAGAGATCGAAAAAGACGTACGCATGGACGCGTTATAGAAAATACTAAAAGTTGTAAAGTTTTCACGATTTAAACAAGCTGCTTCCTACTTTGCAATGTTGAAACTGTCGTCGATTAGTTGCGCGCGAGTTAACCGCGTGAAAACCTAAAAAGACAAGAGAAGTAGTTGATTTACAGTAAAAAATACTTAAAATTAAAATCAACGGATACTGAAGTTAGACCACCATTCAGCTCTATAACCTAGGTATTTTCCTGTTTGTTAAAAAGGATTTATTCGGAGCTTGTTTTGCAGCATGTCCCTTGAAGTTAATAGTTTGGCCTTTTCTAAGTGCTGGCTCTTCGTCTGTGTCAGTGTTTGTTGAAGAAATCTTTTTAGTTTCAGAAGGCTAAGAATTTAAAGCGATGGGGGAAATGCTTCCATCGATGATAATTTAAATTATTAGTCTGTCCAATTTACAAGATCTAGTTCTGAAATTGGGACGCATAATTCATCCGCCGATAACCGTTTTTACTTCCAAATAGTTATACTAGTTTTTAATTCGAATTACAAGAAATAATAGTTACCAGAGGAAATGGTCTCTGCCGAACCAGCCATAGCCGATGCGCCGCCTTTCATACATATTAATTGACAGTTCTTTTTCTCGGATTGGCAAAGCAAGCTGGATGGGAGTGCAAGACAAATCTTGCATGGGTGGGAACGATTAAGTTGCATATTTATCGCAGTTGTAGGCTGCATTTCATATTAACAAATATGACATTTATTTAAGGATGTTCTTCGGAAAGAGGGAATTTATATGTGAGACGGGAACGGACCAAGTAAATAAATACCAGTTATTTGAAGATATCAGACTATGACAAATGTTTTAGGCGGCAATGAATAATTATTTCGTTCAAAAAACAGTTGTTCGGGAGATGCTGCGAGAGGATCAATTTGTAAATGTCAATGAACAAACAGTAGGCCTTCTTATGAAATTAAAATGCCAACTGCTCTCTCTCTCTCTCTAGGCTTCGGTGTGCAGCACTGCTAGCGAATACATCCAAAAGTCATGCTTCAGTTTGACTGAACAAAGTATCGTTGTTTTTAGACAAATGTAGACAGACAAATCTGATTAACTTCAGTTGAACCAATTTTCAAAAAAACTTGGTGCAATGCGAACCCACGACACCCAGCAGTAGATTTCAGTACGGTCAGTGCTCGGAACTTCTACTAAATAGCTGCACCTAGTATTCATCTGATTGAATCTAAATTGGTTACTTTATAAATTCTGCTTGAGTTGTCGGCTTGTTGTATCAGGATTGGCGAATTCCATAATTTGCAGTATGCTGGGCAGTTAGCTTGACGGAAGTGTGATTACACTCACGGCTCCTGGTGAGGATTCGTAGATCAGGTAGTTAGATCGTTGGCTGGACTAAAGGCTTCCTCTTGCTGTCATGAGTTCCAATCCTACCGGGACCGCCATGCTTTGTACAAGTGGGTGAAATGGACCCTTTAAATCCACCAAAATTCCCCAATAAATGTACCAGACTATGCGAACACAATATCCAACATATAATTTTAAGATTTGCGAAAATCCCCATTACAAATATCAGAAAATAAATTGGCGCGCTTATGCTAACTTTCGATAAATTCGCTTCAGGCCTGT